CACGCTTGTTGGTCTTTGGTATATTTCTCAAGTGTTGAAAACTGTACACTTTGTTGGAACGTGGTACATGTCTCATGTGTTGAGAAGTGTACACTTTGTTGGTCTTTGGTATATTTCTCAAGTGTTGAGAATTGTACAGTTTTTGGTATACATGGCACAGTTGTTGGTACATGTCTCATGTGTTGAGAACTGTACACTTTGTTTTAGTAAGTGTTTTACGGCACTTGCAACACAACAAGGTCATATAAGTGCCGAAGATTAGAGGTGTTACAAGAGAGTAACAAACACAAAATAGAAGAAGGGGAGATACGGGCGATAGACATTTGATAGGAAAGAAGGAGCAAACCACACCAGAACACCCGCCAACCACCTACAAGAACTGTACACTTTGTTGGAACGTGGTATAAGTCTCATGTGTTGAGAGACTAAAAGAAAGAGAAAGGGAGGAGAGAGAGAGAGAGAGAGAGAGAGAGAGAGAGAGAGAGAGAGAGCATTGTTCTAACACAAAGCAATAATATTTTTACATTATACACTTGAGTAGTCCAGAACACACTGGTAAGGTTAATAAAAAGCACAATTTGTACATAACATTTGAACTGACAGGAACGCATTATGCTGCCTTATAGCGCAACGCACAATGTGTAGGCCTTTCATATCGTGAGTACTGGTATAACCCTGCAAAATGTGAACATAATTATTATGAGTCGACAACTGTCCAATGTTCTTACACAGCAAACTGTGCGCACATGTAACGATTTGACCCCAGAGCATTGTTGGGTCGTACAACTTACAAGCAAACAGTGTACATATTAGTATTATTACATGTTTTTGAGTGGACCACTACAAATTGTCCCGTTTCACACAATGCAAAGTTATGCAATACAGACCTGCTGAAATCCCCCCACCCCCCCTCCCCGGGGCAGTGCCACTAACTGTAGTCTAGCGTCTTTAGGCCCTTCCCAAAGGGGGGACATTTCTCGTTCAAGCATAGTAGAATTGTAAATGGGCTGATTCATGTCACGCTCGTAACTGTGCCAGATCTACAACAGGGAACTACTGCTTTATCTTTCCTGATCCTTACTATTGTGATTTTCCTCTACTTCTTTTGTATGTTTGTCACTCTCTTGTGACCTGCTATTTTGGGGTGCCTTGATAGTCGAAGCAGACCTTGTGCTGTTGAAGCTAGAGAGGTGAGCAGAGTAAGTCTGATTCCCTGTAAAGACGTCTCTGTTGACACCCACCCCTTGGCGCTCTTATGACCTTATGCAGTTGCGAGCGCCGTAAAACCCTCTACTATTATAATAAACAGACCTGCTAAAAGAACATTGCTCTGTCTAATGCAAAGTAAACTTTGTACGTATCAAAACTGTCTTAAGTCTAAAGAAAAGGGGAAATCTATTGCTTTTTTGCGAGAGTGTATTGTTTATGTCAACAAAAAACAACAGAAAACAGAGGAGTTGAAGAAGGGTTAGTCCATCAACATATGGACGTCGTTACATAACACGATCAGAACGTAATGAAGGCTAGCAGACCCTATACACATACATATTTATTATCAGTACATGTAGCTGTTAATAATTTAATCTATACCATTGTATACAAATCACTAAACCAAATGTATACTCTAAATGACTTTTTTGTAAGGGTATTGAAACAAAACAGAAGAAACAGACAAATGTTGTAAAAATAAAAATGTCAGCCCAGATAAGTGAAATTCCCACTGCAAAAGCGCAAGTGCAGTCAGTGAGAAATGTGTGTGGGTGAGAAGACGAATTTCGTAACATTGTATGAATAAACAACGACAATAATAATGACATGGCGAAGGAGAGAGAGAGAGAGAGAGAGAGAGAGAGAGAGAGAGAGAGAGAGAGAGAGAGAGAGAGAGAGAGAGAGATGGGGGATGAGGGATGGAAAGAGACGAAAGCAGGGACGAATAAGCGATCAGGGCAGGGCATGTTAAAAATAATATGTGATAGACGTGGACAACATCAGTTATGTAATTGTTTTGGTAGATGGTGGAGGTAGGGTGGGGAGATGTGGATGAGGGATTTGGGGGGGGGGGTAGATTTTGGGATGGAGGAGGAGGGGGGAGTGATCCAGCATTACAATACAGTTTCAGTCAGGGAACCACATCTAAAACTACTGGCTGGGAAAATGGATGAGTACATACACGTTTATTAATGTTTATTAATGTGTATTATTATATACACACAAACATACACACACACAGTAAGTGAGTTAAGTGGCACAACTAGCTACTGATACTACAGGGACCAGCTCCTGGCTCTCTTTACTAGGGCTAGAGACCAGAATGAGTTAGAGTAATGCTTGTCAACCTTTTTTATGGCCAGCACCCATTTTTGACACAATCTAGAGCAAAAATTGTTGTACCGTCCTCTTACGAGTATATAGTCGTGCGTTTTCTAAGCGGGGCATAAAAAAAACACGCTGTCACTACCCGCCGAGTGATCTCCATCGCACACTAGAAGTGGTCGCTATCCCGAAAAAAATGCTGTTCTGAGAAAATTGAAGGTAAAGCTTTTGCCCCTTATTCAGTTTCTTTAAAAAACAAGGAGAGATTTCTCTATAACCAAACAAATATACACACCAATGAAACCAAACTTCTCCTATAGGTAGAGTATGGCCCACTTTTGGAGTAGGTCAAGATTGCTGGAACCCCCCGAAATTCGGGTTAGCCTGCTTGTCCTTAAAAGCGACCAGTTACAAATCGTCCACTTGTGGGTGATATCGCTCATTCAGGTAAGCACTGAGTAATATGATGTTCCCTCAAACCGCTCATAATAATATTAGATAAGGCAAGGTACAACACCTGCCATTTGATCAAAGTAGTATTCACCCTGGCTTTACTATCAGAGGGAGTCACTTATATAAGTAAAGATTATATAATGTTATGTACTCCACAATTACAGTGTTGAAATCAGCACTACACCCATGCAAAATATCACTTATTGAGTGCCTCACTATTCTGAAGCCAAATGTTTACAGACACAAGCTATAATTTTCTTTTGAATGTACACACGTTCTCGGTGTTGTGTCAACCCCAATACAATTTAGATCTTATTTTAAGAGACAGGCTTCAACCCTGAGTGTCAGACCCACCTGGGGCAGAGGGGAACAGAAAGTCCCAGCAGAAAGACCGAGATCTAGATAAAAATCCTCCCAACACGGGAATCAAACTAGGTTCTTATGTGTGCGATTGCAAATGCCTTAACCGCTACACGGGACTCATACGAAGACTACAGGGGAAAAACAACGGTAGTCACAAACTGAAAATCGTGAGGGTACCAATTTTGAACGCGTGTAGACTCATAACTGTAGACCTATTTCTATTCTACTGATGGTTGATTATTGTTGTTAGATTTCCCATTCAACAATACTTAACAATAAACCACCAGTCAAACAAATATAATGAATCCACAAGCTTTAAAAAATTGGCATCCTCACAAAATTATCAATTTGTGACCACCGTCGCTTTTCCCCTATTCTCTTCTTAATATACTGATTGGTCAAAGTTAAGTATTAAGGAAAGATATGATTATTCTTTATGACCTATGACACAATAAAAGCGACAGTTTGGATGGAGGCGACAGCTCATAACGTTGGACAATGGAATGAGTGAAAAAGGAAGAAGCAAGTATACAGTGATAGTGGACATAAAAATAATATTAAGCATTTAATAAGGCAAAAGATCAGGGGAAATTGAAAGTGGAAACGGTGTATGGAGGGAAACTGATAGAAATATAAAATGCTTTTTAAAAAAAATAATTTAAAAAAGCAATTATTAATCTTTTAAGATTCCTGATTTCGGGATTCAGTCAAAAGCCAGGGTCGATTAATTTCTATAAAGTTTAATTCTCATCATCTTCCTTCAGTTGTGAGTGTCAGGGCTTCATTGAAAGAAGAATCTGATCTCCCTGCAGCCATTAATAAGTAGATTCTGTTTTTCTTTTTTAATAGGAACCAACACCAATAGTATTACTAGTATTAGTTGATTTTTTTTTCTGTGCTTCCATAAGTGTGCATTTAGGAGGGAGAGAGTGAGTAAGTGAATGGATGAGTGAATGAGTCAGTAAATGAATGAGTGGGTGAGTGAACGAGTGAGTAAGTGCGTGAGAGAGGTAGAGGTAGAGAGAGAGAGAGAGAGAGAGAGAGAGAGAGAGAGAGAAAG